TGAGGTCCCGTGGTGGCTCCTTTGGGAGGGGTTCTTGTTCGTCTGGACGAGATCTAGTTATGCCTTGTTGCAGTTTTTAGATCTTGGATTAGGTCGTGAATGTGTTCGTTGTGAGGGGGCCAACTCGTTTGGTAGTTCTAGAAGTTCTGATGACGACTTAGGAGTTTATTGTAGGTTCTAGTTTATTTTAGGTGTTTCTTATTTTGTGCTTGTAAATTGAAAGGTGAATTTTTTGCAATTAACCTAATAATGTGACATTCTAACCGTAAATGGCAAGCCACATCATCTTAAATTGTCGGCCGTGCTGGTAAAAAATGGTCACCCTCTTACATCAAGTTTATTTTGCCAAATTGAGACAAATCATGATTTATTTGCAGTTATTCAAAAATTAAATTAAGTTGCCAAAATATCGAAGATAGAATTTTTTTTTGCCATTAACCCAAAATTTTAACTAAGATTCAACTTAAAAAGTAATAATAAAAATGTAGAGAGATTCCAAAAGTGTACGGTGTACCATTGAGATGTTTTCCAATTGCCAAAAGCGTTTGTTATCGTTTTCCAATTGCCAAAAGCGTTTGTTCTTCAACTAACATTTCATATATCAGAAATGGGCTTTTACGTACATCGCCATCAATGCACATGAATCATGAAAAATGATGACCAAAATTGACAGTGACGCCCGCGCTTACAGCGCCGTTGGATCTCAGCAACACGCCGAAAGTCCGTTTTTTTCAACGAAATCCGTGCCGCCCAATGTTCAGATCCAATCCACACCCCCTTTTCTGCCCTTTTCTCTCTCATCCACTTAGAGGTAAAAAGTAAAAAGTGAGAGAGAGAGAGAGAGTTGCATACACACACATGAATCTTTGATACATTTGCTGCCTTCTCTTCTTATGCATTCCGGAACATCTGCTCTCTCTGCATCTGTCACACAATCGGTAAGGTAATCACTGTTTTCAGTTGTTGTTTGGGTGATATATTTGCTAACATCTCTCGCTAGTCGCTACTAAGCAGAATGCAGATTTTCCTTTTCCTTTTCTTTTTTGGAGTGATTAATGGCCTTTCTCTATTTGTACATGTTCATGTATTGTAGATCTTCCAGTTGATCCCAAATGTTGGCAACATTTTTTTCTGTGTTAGTTAACTATGATTGACTTCAGGGGTTCTCTGGTGCCCTAGTTTTAGTTACTCTTTTGTGTCTGAAGTAGATTTTAGATGAATGAGATCGTGTTATTTGCTTGGATTCTGTCAAACTAACTGCTGCCCTTTTTTGTTTTCTAATGAGGATTTCAATTTGCTGGTTAAATAATGATATTTTGAGTGTTCTTTTCACTATTTACCAACAGCTGAAAATTTTGCTGACAGTGTGATTTCTTGAAATTTGGTTGAGCTGGAAGATACTGAAAAAGTAGAATGGATCAAAAATCATGGCTGTGGAAGAAGAGATCTACAGAGAAGACCTTGATAGCAGATAAAGCCAGTAATTCTTTAAGAAAATGTGAAGAGGAAACTGCTGAGGTCTGGTTATTTATTTTCATTCGCTGCTATGGACGTAAGGTTAACATGTTATTATCTTTTATTTTACGTTCTAAAACTGGATCTTTCCACATGGATGCCGGAATGTTTCTAATATTGTGAAGTAATTAGCGTTATTTTTACAACAAGGCTGGAGTTATTGAACAATATGAATCGATAGTGTTAATTTCACACCGTTGCCTGAAATTTAAATGAGGACAGCTTCTTTTTCTCCCGAGGATCTTTAATGTGTTGGAGCTTGGAACTATTGCATATAACAATTGGCCACAAATGGGTTATGCTCACTGGTGCTAACTTGGAAATAGTTCTTTTTTTATTTATCAATTTTTGTATATTTTTTTTTCTGCAATTTTCTTTTCAAGTGTTGTGAGATTTTCTAAGGTGTTGAATATAGTTTCCATAGCAGGCAGTGTTACTAAAGCTTGTGGAACACCGGTTTTACAGGTACAAAAAATTTTGACTGAGAAAACAAATTTAGAAAGAGAACTTCAGATGTTAAATGAAAAACTTTCCTCTGCTCATGCTGAGTGTGAGGCCAAAGATAATGTTGCAAAGAAACAGTTGAAAATCTCAGAGGAAGCCATTTCAGGTAATTTCTTGTTAAAGCCTACTGCAAATAACTTTCCCCTTTCGTCTATTTTAAAATAGAAACAAAGTCTTTAAAGTTTTTCTTGCAGATTTTTTTTTTTTTTTTCNCCATTTTCTCAATCCATATAATTTATATGAATGCAGGCTGGGAGAAAGCAGAAAATGAAGCCAAATCTTTAAAAGAAGAGCTCGAGAAGGTTTTGCAGCAAAAGTTTACTTCTGAAGAACGAATGAACCAATTAGATGCGGCATTAAAGGAATGCATGCAGCAATTACGTTCCGTTTATGAAGAACAAGATAAAAGAATTCAAAATGCAGTTATGAAGACATCGAAGGAATTTGAGAATACAAAAAATATTGTAGATGAAAAATTAGCGGAGGCAGTTAAAAAGCTTTTCAAATCAGAAGCCAAAAATTCCCAACTCATTAATGTCCTAACTGTAAGAGAAAAGAAGATTGACGATCTAAGCAACTACAAAACTCAATTGGATGCCAATTTTAATGCCCTAAGGTCGAGAGTAGAGTCCACAGAGAAAGAAAATGCTCGTTTGAAGTATGAGATTAATGTTCTCGAGAAGGAGCTGGACATTCGAAATGAGGAAAGAGAATTTAACTGCCGAAGATCTGATTTAACTCAAAAACAATATGAGGAGAGTGTAAAAAAGATTGCGAAATTGGAAACAGAGTGCCAAAGGCTTCGTCTTTTAACACAAAAACGGTTGCTGCGCTCCACTACTTCAAATACAACGAAGCGCGAAATCAAATTACTTGAAGATAAGGATCAAGTTGGCACAAAGAAAAAGAAGTCAAATTATTCTCGAACTATTTCAACCGATTTTGGTGTTCACTCCATTGGGAATAATGAGAAATTAACTGGAATTCAGTTTCCTGAATCGGCTTCCAGATCTCCACGAGCTGAAGAACGCCTTCAAGAACTCTTTAAAGGCCAAAAAATTGCAGAACGATGTGACAGATCGAGCTTATTAATGGAAAATTCGACAACATCTTGGTCTGATATGGCAGAAAGTGATGATAGAGCCAGCTATGCCGAGTCGCGGGCCTCTGCTTTGGTTACAGAGCTAGAACATTTCAAGAATGACAAGCAATTGAAAATACAATGTCGTAGAAGTATTAGAACTTCGGACATCGATCTCATGGATGACTTTGCTGAGATGGAAAAGCTGGCACTAGCCTCTGCCGATGTTATTCAGACATCCAAAGATTTGATTTCTTGTGAGGCTACAAGTGGTAGTAGTAACTTAAATAGCCATAAACTGCAGTCAAATGCAAGCGAAACAATAAACAAAATTCTGGAGCTTCTTGAAGGAGTAAATGTAAAGTGTCGAGATAATGGTGTTGGGGGACTTTTTGATAATAAATCATGCAAGAATTTGGAAAACCCGACGGGCTACACAGTTCGAGTGTTTCAATGGAAAAGCGATGAGCTCGCGGCCATTTTGCAACAATTTGTTCGGACATGCAACGGTTTATTAAATGGGTCTGTCAATCTTGAATGTTTTGTTCAGGAAGTTGCACTTACTTTGGAGTGGGTTTTAAATCACTGTTTCTCAATTCAAGACGTCTCAAGCATGAAGGATGCGATTTTGAGCCGTTTTGATTGGGATGAGTGTACTGTGGATAGTGGATCGGCTAATTATGCTGTAGAATGCAGTAAGCTGCCTGTTTTGGGAGAAGGAGTGGAGTATGTGAAGTGTGAATCTGAGGTTGTAATTGGAAATCTTCATTCAGAGGTGGAAGGTGTGAGGCAATGGGATGGCAATAACAGAGATGAAATTGAAAAATGGAGTATGATGAAAGAAAGCTTTGAGACCCCAGTTATAGAAACCAATGATGAACTGAGAGAAGCTTGCCAGAGGATTTTGGTTTTAGAAAATGAGCTGGAAAATAAAAGTAGTACTTGTATTAGACTGGAAGAGACATGCCATGACCTACAGAAACATCTGCAAAGGTACATTTTGTAAATGTTTCTTCATTATCTGTGGCGGTATGCTTTTGGCTTTTCAGATCTGATAAAAATTTAAATTATTTCAGAATAGCGAGCAAGCAAGTTCTGGGTAATGAGAGGCACATGGAAGAGCAACTTCAAAGTGTAAGTTTGTGCTATCCCATGCTCAACTTCTGATGTCTGGGAATTTTATTTAAAGATTGAATTTTGCATAGTGGCAGTTATTACATTATTTTGTCCAATCAAAATTTTCCTGGGATCCTAAGTTCTAAAAGGTCCATTGCAGTGGTCAAGTTGATTTGATTCTTATGCTTGATTTATTAGTAATGTGGACAATTTTTTCCTTTTATTTTCTTATCTCTCCCCTTTCATGTTTCGACTTAGACTAAACCTCATTGGTAACATTCTAATTAAATTCCAAAAAGTTAGTGTGCTAAATTGCTTGAAATTTAAAATATTTGCATCTTGGACTAGGTAATACATGTGTTGATAAAATGTCAGTTTTTGCTTTTGAATCGGCTTTCATTTCATTGTGATACAAAAGCTAGGGTGTGAGTACTTTAGCATTTATAATTATGCTTAGCCTAACTTTTTTCCTGCAAACAGAACAGTTTTCAACCTTCCCCACGAAGCACTCTCTTTTAACTGAATCATTTCTATTTGCAATTGCTATCCGCTCATAATTCCCTACTAACCTTCACTACAGTTGCCACAACAAAATCACTTTTTTCTTCCCCCTCAAAAACTGAAGTTTTTGTCAAACACTTTCTACATGTGACATGTTAAATCATACGTGTTTCCAAATACAATTTAGGATTGGGAGATCACATCAGCTTCAGAAAAGCTAGCAGAGTGCCAAGAGACTATCCTAAATCTGGGCAAACAACTCAAGGCATTGGCTTCACCTAACGATGCAGCACTTTTCGACAAGATATGCATATCCACACCATCTGACTCTGTTGTTGCCAGCTCATCCACACCCCGAAAAAATATCAGCCGCAGACCGTCATGTCTGCTAGATAAAATGCTGGCAGAGAATAATAACCTTCCAACAAGTGCTTTGGCTGAAAACAAAAATTGCGTTCAGAATGGAAATGGTGAATCTAGTGTTGGTACAGAGAACTTAAACAAGTTGATCACTGAGGATGGGAATATAAATCACTCGAGTAGAAGTGAAAATGTGACTGCTGTATTGGATGTCGTCCCCTGTGAGAAAAATGGTGGCAGGGGTTTCTTGAAGAAAATATTTTGGAGGCAAAAGAAAAGTAATGACAGCAAAATCACCCTTCTGATAGGTTGCAATTGAGGGACACAGTAAATGCACCCTTTTATCTGTGTTTGTTTTCTTTTCTCTAATTATTTTTGTTGTACATGAAAAATTATATTCTATCTATAGGAGATAGAAGTGGAGTTTGTGGAACAAGTTTTTTGTTTGTATCATGCGTAAAAAATATAAGCACGCGAAAGGGAAAAAATAAAAGAGGAAAAGAATATCCAAATGACTGGCGTTTGTTTAATTGAAAAATGTCTGGATTTTGCTGGTTTTGTAAGTTGCTGTGCAATATGAATTTAGGATAAGATGTTGTCGAAGTCATACAAGATTTTGTTTAGCCTTATTGTTAATTTTACAATCATCTTTTATATATCACATGGTTGAATTATGTTGTCCATATCATACCAGACGTCTCAAAACAGCAGCAGAGCTCCATAACGGATTTCAATTTGATATTATAGAAAATCACCGAATTAACAATCTTGAAAGTGACCAACATACAATAGATTAAGTTTAGTCAAACAAATTCACTTGAAGCACTCGTCAAGAATCCATTTTCCCCTACCTCAGGCAGAAATTCAGGTCCATTTAGTACTTATACCCTTTCTCATACAAACTCTGAGCTGCCAGATCACCACCGGCCCCACCTGTGTACTTCCCGAGCGTGGCCTCTGAATTTGCCTTGCACCTACCCAAGAAGGCCTCTTGGGCTTTCTCCACATTCTCCTTTTTCCCAGCCCATATCTTGAGCGTGCTCTGCTGTAGGGCCCGCCCGAACGAGAATGAGAGTGTCCACGGCTTAAGCACGTCCAGCTTGTTCATCGCGTTAAGGTTGACCGTAGCCTCTTCCTCGCTTTGACCGCCCGACAAGAACACGATTCCCGGCACAGCTGGCGGCACAGTCCGCCTTAGAGCCGTCACCGTGTACTCTGCAATCACTTCCGGAGCAACCTGTGCAAGTATTATTTTTTGAAGAATAAAAAAAATACGTGGTCCTTAGTGAAACAAATCTTCATATTATAACATTGTGAAATTAATAGAGTTGGGGGTAATTTAGTAATTTTGCATGTTAATTAAAATGGCTAAAATTCATGTTTTGTAAATTTATATGGGCATTTAGTGATAGAGAAATGCTATAACTACATAATAGTGTACATAGAGGTGTATATGATACTCACTTAAATGGGTCCTACCAAAAATAAAAAATCAAGTGGACCCCACTCCATGCGAGTGTTATGTACACCTTTATGTACATTTATTATGTACTTGTAGCATTTTTCAAATAAAATGTCAAGTGTACCCCACTCTATGTGAGTGTTATATACACTTCTATGTACATTTATTATGTACTTGTAGCATTTTTCTTAGTAATATTAACGCTTATTATTACCTTAGGAGAGTCAGAGCCAGGTGTGACCATATTAGGCTTCAAAAGCATCCCCTCGAGAAGTACATGATGATCGTTGAGCGCCTTGTAGACGGTTGCCAAAACTCTCTCGGTAGCCGCGGCACATGTCTTAATATCGTGGCTCCCGTCAGTTAAAATCTCGGGCTCAACAATTGGGACGAGCCCGTTCTCTTGGCAGATAACCGCGTAGCGGGCCAGGCCATGCGCGTTCTGCTGGACGCTCAGCTCGGACGGCTCGGTGGGCCCGATCTTGAGAACGGCCCGCCACTTGGCGAACCGAGCCCCCGCCTTGTAGTACTCGGCGCAACGTGGCCCGAGGGAGTCGAGCCCTTGGGTGGTGGTCCCTCCCTCAGTGCCTGCAATGTCGACGGTGCCCTTGTCGACTTTGATGCCAGGGACGACCCCGTTTTCGACGAGGACGTCGACAAAGGGCTTGCCGTTGGAGGTCCTTTGGTAAAGGGTCTCCTCGAAGAGGATGGCCCCCGAGAGGAAGGAGAGGGCCGAGGGAGACGTGAAGAGGAGCTCGCGAAGGGCTTGGCGGTTGGGCTCGATGTTCTCCACGTTGATGCTCGAGAGGCGCTTGCCGATGGTGCCAGTCGACTCGTCGGCCGCGAGGATGCCCTTGCCAGGTGTGGCGATGTACTTGGCCGTCTTGATCAGCTCTTCTGTGTGTACGCAGGTCATTTACGCAGGTCTTAACGGTTAGAAAACCATAATAGATAAGCGTATATTTTTACTATTAAAAATAATATAAACAAAAAAAAAAAACAAAATGGTTTATAATATAAGTATTTATTATTTTTGATATAAATATATGATGGGTCGATCTGTTTATTGGTTAGACTGTCTAATAACAATATTCCTACATGAATGGTAAATCCAATCTTGAATGTTTAAGTCAATATACCAAGTAGATTGTCTTTTTTTTTGGTACAAGAATGGGAGGCTAACCTACACATAACTTAAGTTAAGATCCTCAGGGGATAAGACACGCGGATCAAATCATGGTCTAACCAATAGACTGGTGAAGTGCAAATATATTCAATTTGACTCGCATGCACTTACAAGTTTACAACTTTTTGCGCAAAAGGCCAAAAGGTGAAGTGAATAAAATAACACTTACCAGCGTACTTGCCAACGAAGGCAGACATGGTTTGGTTATCTACTGGCCTGCAAAAAATTATATATTTGTAAAAGAAAAGTGAGGCGTATGTATGTATATACATGCAAAAAGGATGTGGTCTCTATATAGATCAAACTCTGACGGAAATTTCCTTTCTAACTGATGGGACACGTGTCAGAAGAGCAGCCCAACGAAGGTTATCATCTCAGGATAGAGCAACGAGTGATCGGTATAACTGACAGCGCTGTGGCCATATATTGATTTCGCAAAGTACCAAAAACAGTTTTTCTATTTCTTGATTGCGACACCAGTTTCCAACTTTACCCACCCATTGGGCTCTCGGGACTGTATGTAATAATATCCTATTTAGACTTTCCCCCCTCCAAAGTTGTATAATTCGATAAAAAAATATCATTTTTATAAAAATATAAAAAGAGGATGGTATTTAATTGTATAAATATAGAATTTCATTCATAAAGAGCTTAATAATTTAATAATTAGGTAGCCACGCACAAAAATTTTTTATATTATATTTTTGCTTTTCATAATTGTCTATAATCTTCGATTAAACTATGACTTGAACTAGGGAGGTATACCAAAATAACGGGTGTGTTGTTTTTACCAACATGGATTGAAAAGAAAAGAAAGATGAAAAGCATTTGCCCCAGAAATAAATATTGAAGGAAACTATCAATCTCTACACCTTCTGACAATCGGACACCGCATAACCGATTGCAGAAGACTACACCAGTGTAGACAGATCCTGCATTTGAAGAGAATAAAAAAAAAAGTAAATTTATTGTAAGTTTTTTACTGTAAAGAAAAAATAAATAAAAAAAATTGAGTTCATTCTACCAAAAAAAATTGAGTTCAGAAACAAGCGAGCAGCATGATGTTACTATTTAATGCAATTATTTTACCAAAATAAAAAAGTTCCAAACAATAGAAACTGGATATTTCTATAGCAAATACTACTGAAAGTTCCGTGTACAGAGGCTGAAGAATTGACTTTGCTTGAAGCTGCAAATTTTAGAATATTTTAATTAAATCTGACCTTATCAGGGGAGATAACCCAACAGGTCTCAGCCTAGTGTTTAACAATTCTTCAGTATTTCATTTAGAGTTGAAGATACACATTGATATATATGCTCAGTCTAAATTTAGATACACAGGTGGATAATTAGATTGAAGAATAATAATGGAAAGAGAAAGAAAAAGTATTCATATAATTCCTTAAGCTACTCTGGTGTTAAATGGTTGTAAAAGGAATCCTGTCAAAATTTCTCATTAGAAGTTTATTATATAGAGAGAGTGAATTTTATTCAAGTACCTGAAGAAAAAAAAAATAGAAGTTTCTGAAAGCAAGTAAAACTTCTAAATCTCTCGAGACTAGATAATCACAATCTCTATATAGTATGAAAACTCAGCTGTCACCTATAGGTGTCATCATATACAAATTGCAGTCTGTTCCAATGTGATATTGTCAACACCGAAACGTATGATCCCACTTTCAACACTTTTATCAGGTTCACCTCTGTAATTGTATCTGCCAAGCTAACGAGAAAGAACTGTTTTAAGAATTCCTTGTAGGTGTATGTGGTCAAATAATCTTCGCAAAAGTACATGTATCTTCTAGTCACCATTGCCTTCAAAAACTAACTACATATTGAATAACCAGGTGTATGTTCTGAGTTCTGTTTTTACCTCTTGAAGTCAAGTCAATTTTATTTTTTGGGCTTCCACCTTGCTTTCCTGATTCCGATTAGGGACATGAAAGGCTGGATGATGATGAAAAACAATGTTGTTGATCGGTTGTTGTTGATGTTGAGCTTGTTGAGTGTTGGAACCATCTACGGTGGAGGCCATCAATTCCGTAGTTTGTTATTTGTCCTGCGATTGTTAGAAACTGGGTGTCCATTGCACAGGAATCCAGCGACCTAGAGTGTCAGTTTAGCTCTTATACCTTGAACTAAAAAAATTAGAAAATGAAAACGAAAAGACAATAGCCGAGGTGCTCTTTCCGCAAGACGAATACGACCCGCAATGTGCAAATGAGTTCAGGCGTCTCGTCCCCCAAAATACAACAATTGATTTCTCGAAAGCTGTAGTATATCAAACTTTCAATCTCCGGCGAACTTGAACGGAGTTGAGAACCAAGAACTTCTATGTTATGATGAGTAAGACTATGAAGTATGCAGATGATGAGTATTATAAATATATTTTGCAGCTCTAATCTATGTCGTACTTATGGGAATTCCAGTCAGTAGGGGATCCTCTAGTCTTCGCTCAGTAACAACCCACTAATGGCTACTGTAAATAGGAAAAAAACAGTCAAGTCTTAAGCTTGCCGTTTTCAGGTGCTAACACACTACTACTCCACCTGAAACTGTCATGTGGAGTCAACACGTCCAGATTCAATGTACTTGGAGAGGTCTCTCACAGGTTGGTCAAAACCCGAGTTCAAATTCAACTTAGTTTGGATTTTAACTTGGGCCTCAGTTTTGCACACAAATTTGCAGCAAAAAGATTTAAGGACTAGGCCCACGCCTATCACCAAGCCCAACATCATCAAAGGCCGCACAAGTCCAACCGACAGTCCAAGTACCAAGGCCAAGGCCCGTGCCTGAGCTACGCAGGTAGACATGTCAAAACAAGTTGGCGGGGCAGCCGCCAAAACCCGCAGTTTGGCGGGGCGGGGTGGCCCGCCATATTGGCGGGACTGTAAAAGGGCAGCCCGGCCCAACCCCGCCACGGGTCGCGGGATAGGCGGGTTGGCTCGCCTAAAATAAAAAAATAATAAAAACATAGAAAAAAAAAAGAGGAAAGGACATCTGTACGAAAATTCAAAACACGGTCATGACCATTGACCAAGCACAAACAGATCCGATAAGAAAGAAGTAATATAATTGAACTACAAAACTTCACTAGTATAAAGTTTAATTTCCAAAAATATCATCCGATTCAACCCTATCGATTCACCCATAAACAGATTCAATTTCCTCCCGAACAGCCGCCACGCCGCCGATCGAAGTCTTATCGGCGAAGGTCTCCGCTTCTCCTTCCTCGACGGCAACCACTTCTCCTTCCTCGATGGCAATCATTCTTCCCGACGAAAGCCTCCGGTGATATTTTGTCGATCGCTAGTGCCGAGACCCGAATCCGTCCTCGTCGGCCATCTTTCAGCAGCTCGTCAAGTTGGGCACTAGTACAAATTGAGATGTGCTTGATTTTGGGGTAAACTGGGGAATTTCTGTACGCAGTAAATATTGTAGGATTGTAGAGGTAGAGGTGTGGGCCGTCTTTGATACACTTGTGTAGTTTTGTGTATTATTTAACATGGTCTAAGCCTATTAACTTTGAGATGAGTGGAATAAAATGACCCAAATCACCGAGCCCAATCTATCAATGTATATATATTTTCACAGGCGTGCTAGCCCACGGCCAGCCAGGCCCGCCCCGCCAAAGCCCGCGGCCCGCGCGGGCCAGCCCGTTTAAAGCGGGCCTAGAAAGTCCCAACCCAACCAACCCTTTCAGCAGGGCGGAGCGGGCCGGCCCGCGGGCCCAGAGCCGTTTTGACAAGTCTATGCGCAGGGCGGTCGGCAGGCAGGCGCGCGTGTGGCTAAGATCATGGTGCATAACATTGTTGGCGTTGTGACCTCTCTAATTTATGAGTCCAATGTGGGAAATGACTTTTGATCAGACTTGTAAATGAGCCGATCCAAATCGAGCATATGATGCTTGAGCTCAAGCTCGAGCCCTTAACGAGTCGAGTCGAGCTGGGCTCGTTAAATAAACGAGCCAGACATCGAGCTCGAGCTCGGCTCGTTAAGGTCCGAACTCGAGTTTTAACGAGTCGAACTATTAAAAATTATATAATAAATCTTTTTTCGAGTCGAGTCGAGCTCGACTCGTTGCCAAATCAAGCTCGTTTAATTTAACAGCAGTATTTTTTACCCTTCAAATTCCACAACCAACATTTTACTTGTCCATTAATGACTAATTTTAATTATTTATCTCTCACTCACTGAAAATCAATTTTGAGAAAATAAATATACCACAAGAATCTATTCGAAACGTAATTTTTTTTCTGCACAATGCAATTAAACCAAAATTAAATATTCAATTATCAGATAAATCGAGTCAAACCTAATTGTCATACTATTTTCTAATAGTGCTGAAATTGTAGTAAAGGTTTTGGTATGATTTGCAATTTAGCCAATTAAAAATAAACTAATTGCTAACTTAAACACAATTATGTCCCTCATTCAAGTTTATAACTTTACATTAGCATAGGAGAGGAGCATATACCATGGTCTAAGAAAAAAGAGGCAAAAAGGAACCCCAAAATCTTATAATAGAAGTTAGATCTTGCCACCCATTCCAACGTTCGAATGACCCTACGTCAAACATCCTCTGGTCTTTTATCTAATCCTTGTTTTACCCATGGTCTCGCCACGTGGAATTAAATCACGCCTCCAAATTAAAATTTTACCGTTAGCCACCGCCCCCAACACAGTGAAAATCTTTATGGTTGGTGATTCCATTTTAAGAAATCTATATATATATATATAATTACTAGTTAATAGAATTTAATAAAACTTATTTAATTTTACCTATGTGGCAATTTAACAATTTTTCCTCCTAAAATCGTTACATTTTGATTTATTTAATCTTTCATTTAATCATTAAATAATTAATACTCATCACTTCAAAATTACAAAAATCATTTTAAACTTTTGACTAATGACAGTTGACCGTATAATGTGATTAGATGTTATTATTATTGTTACATTTAATTTTTTTTTCTTTTGAAAATAAAAAATATATTTGAAATTCCTAAATAAATAATAAATAATTCACAAATAAAAGACGTACCAAAATATACATTACATCCAATCAGATAAACGGAATTAAAAAAAAAATTCCAACTCTTTTAATTGAAAATTTGGTCTGCAAAAAAGTGAAAGAAAAATAATTCATCATTATATGTACAGACTCACAATAATTTATTTATATCTGTGCAAATACACAGGTCGAATACTAGTTCTATTTCATATTTAGAATTTATTTTTTCAAATTTAATGGATAGTATTATAACACAATAATTAAATGTTAACGACAAACTCATTTAATTATTTTGCCAACTAAAAAAATACACTATTCGTTTCTCTCATTTTAAAAAAAAAAACAATACTTCCTTTACATTCATTTATAAAATTTCCTATTTATCGACTCATATATATTTAACAATTAATAATTATCTTACTATTTTTCTCTCACACCACAATTAATTAGTATTCTAATAAGATTGCTGAACATTAAAAAAATATTGGTTCTTCCACTTGATTTCAATCAATGAAAGCATATCAAATTGCATACATGTTAGGAAACCGTCTGCCATAAAATTATATTTCAATTTAATGTATCAAACACTAGAATGGATCCAAAGAAACGATTTATACTAATATAATTTTATTAATATGATAAGTTTATTTGTTGTATATAAAAGATTGGCTCCACTATGAAGCAACTGTTAGCTTCGACCATCAAAAGAAATGTTGGTAATAGCAATAAGCATACTGGGCTGTGGTAATCATATATTTGAAGTCAAACGGTGAGTCCCGCTTCAGTATGCTGTGGGGCCCAATCCGGAATGCCGTCCCCGAAAAGTGGAGGCAACAACTCAACGGGACGTTTTTATTTGAGGGCCCTTTTATTTCCCAATTCTTTCTTTGCCTTCAAAATACTTGACTGAGTAAGTGAAGGCATTTCACTTTTCTGTTTAAAACAAGGGGAGAAAAAAAACTCTTGTTATTTCATTCCCTCATTTATATTATAGGGCATTAAATGAGTCACTTGGTGAGTTTTGAATGCTCTCGCTTATAACTCACGAGAAACCCGTTCAGGTTGCTCTTTGTGTATCTTAACAGTTTAGATTCAATAATACCAAAGAACAATTGTATTCCTTGATAGTTTGATCTTGTCTATTCCAGGATTCCATTCCAGGTAAACTCTACTCGGTCTCAATTCTTCTTATTGTTTGCTGTTCTTTCATTGTTGAATTATATTGCAGGCATTTTTTTTTTTTCAGAAAAAAAAATGTATGAATGTATTTTCAAGTTGAGACTGGATTATGTGTAGTTCAAGTGGTTCCACCAATCATCTGCATAAGATATTCTTCAATTCATACAATTACTTGCCTCCTATTCTTCATGAATATAATTTTGTGTTTGGAGAAAACAGGATTTCAGTTTTGAGGAAAATGATTATAACTGCAGGGTATGGTGGGATTTATNTGTTACTTAGAAATTTAAGCCAAAATGAAAAAGGAAATAACGGTAAAAAAGAAAAACTAAAGGCATGCGAAATTAATATGATGAAAGTGAAAAGTGGTGTAGTGGTTGGGGTCCTTGAATCAAAGAATCCAAAAATGGAGTCCAAAGTAGTTAAACAACGGATATATTATTTGAAGCAGATAATGATGTAATGTAGTTGGAGAAGGCAGATCGGTTTGTTATCAAAAGTGTTTGTAATATGGGTCGACTACTTTTCCTTTTTTAAGGCCCCCGCCAAAAGGAGTTGTGGGCCTAGTTTTTTTCCTAATCTCCCCCATTTTCTTTATTTATACGTAATTGTAATTAAATAGAGGGAAATGCTGTTATGATGTAAACAAATTTGACATAAATAATATGTTAAGTGTATATTACTTAATATGTTTATATAACATGGCCCTTATCTAGACAGCTTGAAATATATGGGAAGGAAAAGGCTTTAGCTTCCAATAGAATCTAATCTCATTATTATTCCATATGCCATAATTACCCGGTTCATAATTCCTGTAGCGAGTTCTGAATTTGATAAAATTTGTTTTGACTTTTTGAAGCAATGAAACTACGAAATTGATCAGTGATAGTTTTCCTCGTTGAAAACATATAGAGTACAATTGCAGATTTGACCTAATTATACAATCCCAATAGTTTTTAGTGTAGCTTATGGTAACTAGCCTGTAAAAGGCACCATTCAAATTTGCCATCCACATAAAATGGCCTTTAACAATGGCGTTTTCATTTCAAGGATCAATATTTTGCAAAAAGACACAGTGACAGCAACTGTGCGCAATTCAACTATTCAGCTAATTGACACAACCAAAACGAAATAAAGAGAATTTCAGAATAAATTGAGAGATCTAAAAACAACCAAAACCCTAGCCGCCAAACCCGTAAAGCGTGCGGCCCTGCCTCTTGAGCGCATACACCACGTCCATGGCGGTCACCGTCTTCCGGCGAGCATGCTCCGTGTAGGTGACGGCGTCACGGATGACGTTCTCGAGGAAGATCTTCAAGACGCCACGAGTCTCCTCGTAGATGAGGCCGCTGATGCGCTTCACGCCGCCTCGACGGGCAAGCCGCCGTATCGCCGGCTTGGTGATGCCCTGGATGTTATCGCGAAGCACTTTCCGATGACGCTTAGCGCCGCCCTTTCCCAAGCCCTTGCCTCCCTTTCCCCTTCCTGACATTTTTTCCTTCTCTGGGTAGATCCAAATTTTATTTTGATGTCCTAATTTTGCGAGTCGATTGAGGATGAAGATCGGGGATTTTTTTGTTTTTATTTATAGAGTAGCAGTCAGTGGGAATGGGGATATATGAGCCGCTGGCTTTGTTTAGCATCGGGATATCTGAGCCGTTGGCTTTGTTTAGCATCTACGGCTGTTTGTTGCTATCCTCGTCGTTGCGTTTGTGGGTTATAAGCCGTTGATAAGAGATAAATCGACGGCCAGTTTTAGATATTAGCTCGTTATGGGATTGCGAGGATTTTTTGCATTGGGCTCTATTTCTGTGAGGGTTCGGCGCTCAAATTTCCACTTCCCGCGCAAGACGTGACTTTTATATCACACCTAATTATGAGAAAATGTCACTATAATTTGGTTAGATTTTTACTTTTATTTATATTTACTATAATTTTAAACTTAAATATTTGATTTGATATCTATAAGAAATACATAAAATTTTATAATTTCACAATGTTAGTTTAATATTTTTATTGTATATATAAAATAAAACGATAATTATAATTGTCATTTTTTAACATACGAGTCGACATTAATAAAATTAATATCAAACCTAAAATTAATTTTATACATCAAATTTATGTTGATATCAAGTTATTTATAATATACTCTTTATGATATACTCTTAAAAAATAAAAACTTTATTTATATTTTTATTAAANTCTTGTAGCTTCTAAGTTGGAAATTTTTGAGTGCAAAACAGATGTAGAGCAAAATGAAAATTTACTAAAACAGATTGATGCAAGACGATTGAATGTGATCTAATTTTTAATTCGCCGTCGTCGTGTGAAGCTTCACGGAGGTACCAGGCGGCGCAATGGCTGCGGCAGATGGACCATGGCGCGTGGGAGGTCCTTCCCAAACAGCCCACGGAGGAGCAATTTCGTCTTGCCCTCCGCAACGGACTCATCCTCTGCAACGTCCTCAACAGAGTCAATCCCGGTGCCGTTCACAAGGTATGCTATGCTACCTGCTCTTTTTCTTTCTTTCTTATTTTTTTTTTTTTTTGAATTGTCCGGAGACATTTACTTTACGTCTGGTAGCTTGGTGCTGCTGCTTGTTTATGCTAAGTTCTGTTTGTGAAAAATGTGTAGGTGGTGGAGAACCCAGTGGTGGATGTGCAGGCTACAGAAGGCGCTGCCCAATCTGCTATTCAGTACTTTGAGAATATGCGGAACTTTCTTGTAGCTGTGGGCAACATGAAGCTCCTCACATTTGAAGCCTCTGATCTTGAAAAGGTCTGCATCTAAATTTTGAGATTCATGTTGTATACAAGATCAGTAAACTATTGGCGAGAAGCTATTTGGCACAAATAAAATCACCAGATACAAGATCACGCTTGTCATTCTTTACTTAAGTCATGTCTCTGTATTTGGATTGGAACCCCACACTCTCTAAGAAAGTACAACTCACTAAAGCTTTCCTTCATTTCATGATCTATTTATTTTCGTCTGTTGCAGTAACACATATAGCAACCTAAGTAAACAATGTTGAGCTGGTAATCTTATCACTTAGAGCATGAAAATTATTAAAGTAAATCAGTTTTCTTATTCACTCGCTATGTTCTTCAAAATCTTGAGTATGGTAATGTGCATTACCACGCCATTTATGCATACCACTGTATTAGTCTGCCTGAATTTTTAACATGATATCTATACTTAATTTTTTTTTCAATGCCATCATGACCATTATACCATCATGTTCTACTATAATGAACTAGACATTGTTCAACCTTGCAGGGAGGCTCCTCGGGAAAAGTCGTGGAATGTATTTTGTGTTTGAAAGGATACTATGAATGGAAGCAATCTGGAGGTCGTGGAGTCTGGAGGTATGGTGGAACAGTGAGAATAACATCCTCAGGAAAAGATTCTCCACCCTCTCTAGTTAGCAGTGAGAGTGTAGATGAATCCGTAGATGATTCTGAATCATCACAGTACGACCAACTAATGGAATTCCTCCACCTATCTACTGACACCCTCGAGGAATCCAGTGCAGCCAATGTACTCACTTTCATGTTCGATTATTTTAGTCTTGGTCTCTTGCAATCCTACATGACCGAAACCAATGGATTTGATGAGAGGCCCATAAACTCAACGGTAGGTAAGATTACTTTCTTTAATATATTTCCATGTCTTTTTTTTTTTTGTATGTTTTTCCAAAAGTGAGAAATTGTCCAAAAACAAGGCATCTGAAAAGGTTCATTCCTTCTGAAAAAAAATGTATCATACTTTACATTACACATATAATTTTAATAGCACTAGATGTGTATATAAATATAGATGCACATACATAATCCTCGTAATTTGTTGAGTAGCAAAATCATCGTATATCTTGTGCTCTTTTATTTACAGAGAGCAAACATTTATTACCCCCATTCATTATTCATTGACAAATGCACTACAAAATGCAAGTATATCTATAAAGACTTGAGGTTTCCACAAAATGTTATATCTCATGTTGTCTCTAGGATTTGAGTATTCTTTGTAACTGTTTACATAGATATCTGTACACGAAAATTCTGTAATGCTAACTCTGCTAAATTATCTGGGTCCAAATGATTTTCTTGTGTTACGCAGTAAAATGAAATAGCATGGTTGTTCTTTGAGAAATTTAGAATGTTAGGCATTTCCAGAACTCGACAGTATAAGATAAAAGTTGATGTATGGCCACCCGTTATCACTGATCTACTAGTTGAGGTTTGCCCATGTGATTAAAGCATCATATTTTTGGGACTTCAATTGTTAGAAATGATATGGTTAGTAGAAAACACTTGATGCTGATTTTTAAGTCAAGGCCATTTTCTCCTGTTTATGAAAATATATGATACATACTGTTCTGTCATTTGAGTTGGTTCCATAAGTATCTTTTGTATCTCTTATAGTCACACAAATAAATCAGTTTGTCATTTCTTGCAACATTTTTTTACTAATCATTCGATTGGCATAACCTATGTATTTATATTTGCTTATCATCATAAATCCAGTCTTGTTGTAAAATGTAGGTCATCGATACAGTGCTGAAGAAGGTGGCTAAAGAATTTTCAGAATTATTGGTTTCTCAAGGGCGTCAGGTGGTTGAATTTGCAGTAAATATTTATGAAGATGGCACAACTGCTCTCAATACGACAACTCATTTTCCAAATATGTAGTCTTATTGAGGTTTAAGTTATTTTTTGATTTTGCAGCTTAACTTGTTTCTGAATCAAGTTCTGGACAGTGGCTGCAGTCCTCAATCTAAAACACAGTTTGGTGAAGCTATATTACAGTATCTGAGCAAAAGGACGAGTTTAGTATCAAAGGATATTGCAAAATTCTGCATTTGTGGAGGAGAAGGTGGTAGAACTTGTAATAGGAATAACTCCTCTCGTGTTGGTATAGAACTACTTAATCTTCAACACCAACAACTAGAGGTATTAGTTCTTGGTTTTTTTCCCACCCTTTGGATCTTTGTTTACCTAACTAATGACTTAGAAATATTGTAGGATGAGAAATTAAAATAATACACGAGAAATAATTTTGTTGTGATTTTGACTTCAATGGCAGCTTGAACCAAGTAATGTAGTTGTTCAGAAGGAGATCATTACATGTTAAAGATAACTAATTTCTTAAGGTTGATTGAGACCCTATCATTATTGAATCACATTGATGGTTTCACTCGATGCGAGTGTGTGCATTGTCACAATTATTTGCAATTTTCACCTCTTATTGATTATTATTATTAAGACATTTTTAATAAGTCTGTCGCACAAGTTTGATATTGTTTATCAAAGTTCATGTGCTGCACATTGTTGATATGTTAATAATATATGAAAAGCATATCATTATTTTCTTAATGTGTAATCAATTTCAGGATTTAAAAGCTCTTTTTAATGAGACAAAGGAAGAACTCAGCCGTGCTCGGTTAGGATGGGGAAACGAACTTCACTCCCTCGGTAAGTTTGTTTTATTCTTAATCTCTGTGCATTTCGTGTTTCACCTGAAAAACTTGACTTGAAATTCCATGGTATATTAATAAAGCTATTACTTTTTCCAGGACACCATGTTAAGGGTCTAGAAGTGGCTGCTTCGTCATATCACAAAGTTTTGGAAGAAAATCGTCTTCTATATAATCAAGTTCAAGATCTAAAAGGTGCACTTATGTGTGTATAAATATTTAGTTACAGACACAAGTTTGTGGCATAGAAAGATCATTGATTTCAATATGATGGGATATGATATTCCAGGGACCATCCGAGTTTACTGTAGAGTAAGACCATTCCTCCCAGATCAATGTAATGGACAGTCTACAGTTGATTATATTGGGGAAAATGGAAATATCATGATTGTGAATCCCCTAAAGCCCAGCAAAGATGCAAGAAGGGTTTTCTCATTCAATAAGGTGTTTGGGACAAATGTGACGCAACGTACGTCTTTTCAGTTCCTCATCCGACCTTTATAAGTAGTCATTTAAAAACAAAATTAGCATATAATAGAGAAGTTTATGACTCCATCATTATCATACACATACCTTATTGCACGCTCTCATTCTCAACTCTTTTGGATTTTGCAGAAGATATATATGCTGACACTCAACAACTGATCAGATCTGTTTTAGATGGCTATAATGTTTGCATCTTTGCGTATGGTCAAACGGGCTCCGGGAAGACGTATACCATGGTACTATAGTTATTATAACGATTAATATTCAACTTCAATAGGGTCTCTAGGACGTTAGGCATAATAAGTTTGAAAATATACCTGATGAACAGCATTTTACCTTCCCGAGCATCAAGTGCACAACTTATATCATGTTTTGTCATGTAATGTTTATGTCACATCTTTTCTAGAGCTTTAAACACGATGCATATTTTCTAGATCACTCATCACTAGATATACTATATTGCCCATATTAGCCTAATGATTTTGAGGTAGTCACTATAAAGATGGTTCCATCTTCCAAGGTAGTTATCAACTACTATTAAAGTTTCTCAACCACAACATTATAGCTGGTTGCCATTGGACATGTTACTATACAAAAATAAACCTCTTTGGCTTTATGGTGGTTGAAACTTTAAAAACTTATGATAGGTCAGCTATTCTGTAGTAGGCTGATTACCATGTCAACAATAATATGGCTTGTAATTGTCCTTTGAATATCTGTGAATGAAACAATGACCATTGAATTTCCATGTAAAAGAGTGGTCCAGATTTGACAACAGAGGAGACATGGGGAGTAAATTATCGAGCGTTACGTGACCTGTTCCACATTTCTAAGGACAGAATGGACGCTATAGAATATGAAGTTGGTGTTCAAATGATTGAGATATACAACGAACAAGTTAGAGATTTGCTGGTATCTGATGGAAGTAGCAGAAGATATCCTTGTCCATTTTTTAATATTTTTTATTTCAAAATCTTGTTTATAACAATTTTCAGAAATGAACTTTGATTGTCCTTAATTACCCATACGTTAGATATTCGAAATAATTCTCAGCTTAATGGCCTTAATGTTCCGGATGCTAGTCTAGTTCCCGTTAAATGCACTCAAGATGTTCTTGATTTGATGAAAATCGGACAAAAGAACCGTGCTGTGGGTGCTACAGCTTTGAATGTACGGAGCAGCAGATCTCATAGGTTATTATTATACTGGCCCTTTTAAGCGTACTGTTTTTTGGTATGAAATCTAATGTTTTTTTAGTAAAACTGAAGACCTTTGTTGCAGTATTTTGACAGTTCATGTTAGGGGAAAAGATCTGGTGTCAGGTTCAATATTAAAGGGTTGCCTTCATTTAGTTGATCTAGCTGGGAGTGAGAGAGTGGATAAATCTGAAGCTGTTGGTGAGAGACTAAAGGAAGCTCAGCATATTAATAAGTCGCTCTCTGCACTTGGTGATGTCATTGCTGCACTTGCACAAAAGAGTTCTCATATACCTTACAGAAATAGCAAGCTCACTCAAGTGTTGCAAGATTCTTTAGGTAGTATATACAACCCACATTTATTTTGTGAGCAATCTTCCATTTTGGTATATAGTAGAAAAATGATATGAATTTTAGCTTTGCTATAGCAATTCTTGTCTTTTCTTAAGTCTGCTATATGTTTCAATTATTGATTTCTCTTATAGGAGTTCACTATGGAAAGAAAAAGAACAAAAATTCTAAACATCAAGTTTTCTGAAAGCTAGTTTTAGGATTATTATTGAAGGTTAGCAAAACAATGTGAATAACATATTACCTGATCATTGTTATATTTTGAGCAGGAGGGCATGCTAAGACGTTGATGTTTGTTCATATAAACCCGGATGTTAATGCTCTAGGGGAGACAATCAGTACCCTGAAATTTGCTGAAAGAGTTGCCACGATAGATCTTGGGGCCGCCCAATCTAACAAAGAGACTAATGAGATAAAGGACTTTAAAGAAGAGGTTTGTTCTTTTACAATTACTTATCTGCTTTGGCTTGGATCACCTTCAGCTCACACTCTTACTATTTCATGGTTTATTAAGATCTCAAACTTGAAGCTATTACTGGAGAGGAAGGAAGTTGAGTTGGAACAGCTAAAAAGTCGCACAAATAATCGAGGAGCAGTATCTCCACTACGGCTACCTAAATTTAACAGCAATGCCAGTTTGAAGCCTGAGAGCAATCAGCAACATCTTGGTACTCAAAATGCGGAGGTAACATCCACAGCTACAGTATATGATAGCTAAAAGTTCAAGTATTCATGAATAATCCAAAATCAGATCCTCACATTTTTAGGTTGAATCATGGTTTCTTAATTCTCGGTAACATAAAAAAATAGCACAATTGAAGTTCAAGACATTTTTAAGCTTTTGTCCTTGTTCTAGTTTATGTGAGAAGTGTGGTGAGGATTCACCTTGCCATTAAAGAACTACATTGTTTAGGATAATGGCTTTTATTATATGGCTCTGGGGTTTGTTAAGACTTACACATGCACAGATTTCCAATTATTTATTTATTTATCTATTTTTTTTACCTCACCCATGTAGTACCTAACGACTATGCTAAATCCACAGGCGAGAAGCTGTTCCTCTCGTAAACAGAGGCGATCTCGATTTCCCTCAAAATTCACGAACAAAGATGTCATACCGAAAATGCCCCTCCAACCAGAAGACAAACCAGCAAGCTCCATAATGCCTAGATTTTCATCTCCCCCAATCAGGAGATCAATATCAACCGATAGATCTGCTATCGTTAAACCTCGAATAAAGCCCGATGTTCTCGAAAATCCGCCTGCCTTGAAAGCTCCATATCCTGCTAGCCTCTCGTTAAATAAACCTGTTATTGCTAGTGTGCCTCTAGTTGCACCCGTAGCAGTAAATTTGCGCCCCATTTACGAAGGGTCAAAAGAACCACCTTTCCTGGACACCCTTGAACGAAAATCTCAGCCCGAAAGTGAAGAACACATTAAACAAGCGCTGAATGTACGGCATGGTGGCATCAGGAAAACTAAACAGGAGGTCAAGGTCAAGATCAATGCCAAGCCGCATATAGCGGCTAAAGCCCAAAAATCTAGTTATCCTGAAATACACCTACTTTCTGATGTGTGCGCGGAAAAATTGCTGGACGAGACTCAGAAATTTGATTTTTCGGGTTTGGAAAGCGGGCCTGGGCATTTTCAGTTGCCAGCCAGTAGGATGAAGAAGGCTCACAAAAACTTCTCCAGTAACTCCCAAAATGTAGAACCAAGGTATGACAACATAAATACACTGTTATTAGAAAAACTTTGATTGTGTATGTATTTAGTTTATTGGAGTTTTGCCATGAGACCCTTCCATCACGAACTATCCACCATGCCAATGTTTTTTTTTTTTCTTTTTAGGTGCCAAGATTGTTAACTTGTTTTATTCATTTTACAGAGAAGTAATCCAATCCGTGGATCCCTTGTTGGCTGCATACCAAGACTACAAAACTTTAAATACAGTAACTCAGAATGGGAAGGATATAGGACGTCCGGCTGTTCCTGAATGTCGAAGGAGTAGATCTACTCCTCGAGGAAAATTTATGATGTGATTGTAGAAGATTTGAGAGCATCTGGTCGTGAGAAGATCTGTATAGGACTTCATTTTGCTTCTTGACTTTGGGACTGCAGTTGTGTGAAATTTCCAATCCACGAAATAATGTGATTTGTATGGGATAAAATGTCCGGCAGACCTGTGGCTACCGTTTACTGTATAGCTTGGCAGATGTCTCGACTACTATGATTCCTGTTGGGAACTACACATAATTTTTTTCATGTGCATAGCTATTAGACATGAAGATTTATAAGTTTCCTTCTTGTGCTCGTGCAGCCATATATAGAGATGGACAGCGATATTCATGTAATCGGCATATGATCAGCTGATGAATGAGATACAAAACACGTATTTTGAGAAACAATGGTTCTTGTTTGGGGATGTAACCTTTTCTCATTCTCTTTCTTTTATTATGTCTCTACTTCAATTGTTCTTTTGTCCAGCATTGTTGTTTTAGATGTGTAAGAAATTTGTTGAGTTTTTACTCTTCTATTCTAACTCGTACGCTCCATATCAATTGGTATAAGTGACCAGCCACGATCAACGATGCCGCCGCGAAGACAAGATGTTGCAGATGATAGTGCTATCGACAACTTGAGTCGCCAGTATGAGGGGTTTGGCCGCCAGTTCGAGACAATGGGTTGTCAGCTTGTGGATCTGTCCGTGGGGATTGTGGACATTCGACTAGCTCTCTGAGGGTGACCAAACGAACTGCTATGTCGGCAACCATTGTTGAGGATCGAGCACAATGTTGTCTACAATTTGAGATTGTAGATTCGACATGGATGGCGCTGCCGAGTCACGCATACGGCTGAGGGCGGCCGAGTTAGGCTCGAGGCCCTCAACATTCACATTCTCGAGGGCCAACAGGGCAATCACTTCCTCATTTGGCTCTAACTTATCATGTACCGCTAACTACATTTATTTATAAATAAAGAACACAAAGATAAATAAAGTAATTAAAATAAATAAAATTATATAATAAATGGTAAAAGTTTTATTTCAAATAATACCTCATCGTCAAAAAAATGTGTTTGGAAATGAGACCATCTTGAATTCCCATTGAACCACCTGTGGTGGAGATCTCACGAAGGTACGTGCTCTACATGCACAACCTAATGCAGGGATTGCCTCGTAACACTATGTCAAAGAGAAAAGTGCATTTTTCGTCCTGTAAGTTTACCCCTCTGAACAATTTAGTCCTCTTCGAATAGGCAATTTGAGTTTCGTCCTCTAACTTTCAAAAAGGGTTGCAGATTCGTCCCCGACTCGCCGGAAAACCGTTAATTGGTCGGAAACACGCACGTGACACGCACGTGATTGAAACTAACGGCTCTTTAAGCCTACATGGAGCCGGATTTTCCACGCTGGCGACCTTATTTACACGTGGAGGACAGAAAATAAACGAAAAAAAAAAATCCACGTGCCGAAACACTTCGAAAAGAACCGGGCATAAAATGAAACGGATTTTCTGATATTGAATCGTTTCCATCCTCCTTCAACCCTATTTTCCCAAATCACAAGATCCCCAAATCTTCAAGAACCCTAATTTTGAAAATTGTTGAGAAAATTGTTGATTTTGTTCTTCCAAATTGTCGATTTCGTTCAAGAACCCTAATTTTCCTTCACCTTCGAAATTTTCCTTCACCTAATTTCATTATAATGTACGGAATTTAGATCCTCATTTCATTTTAATTGTACGAACTTTAACAAAATGAACCATTTTCACCTCGAATTTAGGGTTTTTCATAAAAAAATGAACATTCCACTGTACGAATTTAGGTCCATTGTGCATACGAATCTGCTTCCGGATGAACATCTTCTCAGGAATCATTTGAATTCTTGCTTCTCAATATTTGATTTCGAGATTTCGGTTTTTTTGGCTTTGGGATTTGTGAACGATGGAGGATTTTTTTTTTAGAGAGAATTTGGATTTGGAAACGCGACGAGATTGCGGGAAGGGGAAGAAGTGGGATGTCTGTTCAGTTTTCATGCCTTTTCATTGTTTTTCCCTCCTAATCCACGTGTTTCGGCACGTGGAATTTTTATTTATTTTTTTCGTTTATTTTTCGTCCTCCACTTGTAAATAAGGTCGCCAGTGTGGAAAATCCGGCTCCACGTAGGCTTAAAGAGCCATTAATTTTCATCATGTGCGTGTTTTCGGCCAATTAACGGGTTTCCGGCGAGTCGGGGACGAATCTACAACATTTTTTTAAAGTTAGAGGACGAAACTCAAATTGGCTATTCGAAGAGGATTAAATTGTTCAGAGGGGTAAACTTACAGGACGAAAAATGCACTTTTCTCCTATGTCAAAAAACACCCAGTGAAATTCATAGATTTGATTGCATCTTATTATGGTACTGGGTCGTCTGCAAGTAATCAAACAAGTACTAAAACGAGTAACCCTCCCTCCCCCAATGGAAAAGTCTCCCACATGTGGGTGCCCTCAAGCAAACTCCACCAGCCAAGTTTCAATATCTCGAGGTCTTGTACGACAGTCGTCATGAGCAAGGATGAAATACATGATTGTTAGCATCTTGGCGAATCTCACTGTTGAAGTCCTCACGCAACTTCTACTGACCGACTTGCCATCATATCGGAAATAGAAAATGGAGATAGAGGAGGAGGAGGCACTGAGTTCGGGTCAAACTCGGATGATCCAAAAGCAAGCCTGGTCACCCCAACATATTCATGGGCGAAGAAATGTGTAAAATGGTCACTAATGCGGAATCATATCTCCTTGGGATTCTGACGGCATGAGTCACCTCGCACGAAAGAATCACATGAAGTGCCTTTTGTGAGACCTTAGCCTTATCAGGAAACAAAAGGAACCGACCAAAGACCGAGACCTGAAAATCATCCAGAGCCCCATCAACGTTGGCCAACTTTTTCTTGATTTCAACAAGAATGAAATGTCGGTTGTAGGTGTTGGATCTTCAAACCTTCATATTTACTGACCAGGTCACCTCTCTTGTACAACCATGAAACCTAATTATCGAATATAAAAAACAATTTCTTCATATTTCTTAACTATCACAAGTAGATGAAAATGAATTAAATAATATACTTTTTTCAGACGTCGGACGTACCAGCAGCCACTTAGTCGCCCGCTGCCAGACTAGTGCCGACAGCCGCTCGGTGTCCTGCCACCACTGATTCTCCTTCTAACACCACAATCATGAAATCTTGAACAATTTCATAATCATTCATGTCACTCATCTTTTTTAACAGTTTATTTAGTTCTAACTATGCGAAGTAATGTCGCAAGATTCAAAGCCAATATTTTGCCCTTCTCTCTTTTTTAAAATTGTTCTCTAGGGATATATGTGTAATAGTATAAAAGTAAAATTAAAAGTAAAAGGTAAACGCTCGCGTCTGAAAGTAAAACGCTTCCACTATTTTTCTAGAAGTAATAACTATGCGACAAATATGGTCATAATAGTTGTCGAGAAACATTAATCGCAGAGTACGAATTGACCAAAAATTACACAGTCGTTTTTATCCAATATTAATTTAGTTTTTGTATTTAACAATAACTATGTGAAGAATATGCATTAGAACAACTTTCTTGTAATAATCGCAGATTAATTACGAAATTACCAAAAATAAAATTTCAAATAAATTAATATGCAATTATTTTTTGCGTATTATGTTTCGCCTACTAATTGCATATTTTAGTAACAAAAAAAATAAAAATAATGGTTCGGAGGATCACAGTTCGGGCGTATCTCTTACGCAGTTTAATAGCATAATTTAAATTTACAATTTTAAAAATATTATTACTCTGCGATCTATTCTGACGCGAAAACAGTCGCATGATATATTGCATTTTTCGAGGCAATCATGTCTTCGAACTGTTGTTTCTGCGATCCAATATTTGTATCTCTTTGACAGTGTCGTAACGCTTCAATTTTATTTTTTGTGTATTTAATAATAACTATATCACAAGTATGCGTCAGAACAACTTTTGTGTAATAATGAATGATTAATAAAGAACTTACTAAAAATAAAATTTGTAATTAATTTTTGCTAATTATGTTTCGCTTACTAATCGCATATTTTAATAACTCTCCTTTTTTGAAGCAAACCCGTCATTCGAACAGTCCTTTCTGCATGACTTGAAATGTCACGTATCAATAAATACTACATAAACGATTATGAGGCAACTTGAAATGTTAGACACCAGTATAAACACTACATGAATGAAGTCCACATTCCTACCACTATGTATAACAAAAAAAAAAAAAAAAATGTATCTTGTCTACCTTCACATACGAATCGCAGGTTCATGTATTAATTACATGATCTCGTAGTTGATTAGCAAATGCTCGATCAGTGTATACATTTCGTCGTCCCTATCGTTTTTCATCATGTTCCTCCGGTTGTTGATCTTGGACAGACCCACGATCCTCTGCCTCAATGCTTTTGGGGATTTCCATTGTTAAAAACTTTGGTATTCAAGATGTTGGAAACCTCCTTCACGTGGTTCTGGTACAACGTTCCTGAGAGGACAACACCAGTCAAGATAAACCATCAAGGTCAACAAATACTACAAGTTGCCCCCGCGATTGGCAAAAAATGCCAATTTGCAAAAATAATAATTGATTTGTGCAGTGATGCTCCCTGAGATGCTTCGACAAAAGATAGTTCCAAGAGCCATCAGCAGAAAAGACAAAATTACTGCTCCGACGTCCGTTGATCTGTGCAAAAATTCACCCAGGACGTGAGTACGCACGCCACGAGGACAAAATTACTGCTCCGACGTCCTCTTCCCTTTTCGATGACTTTATTTTAAGCATCCTATCTAAAATTTCTTGTTCCATTTTCCCGGCTGACCACTCAAACGCCTCGGGGAGCTAGCGAAACCCTTTGACCCAAACTAGAGGTGCCCCAGGGAGGGCCGACACGACTCGGGGAATGACGATCAAAGAAACACCAAAACCAGGAGAGGGATCTAAACAAAAGAACTCACACTGAAGGAACCAGAGAAAAGACAGAAGAGAACAGCCAAGCCAAGAAGCCACCCCTAAAAATACCCTAGACATAGACTAACAAAGCAAGACACCCTAAAACCCTAAAGAAACCACTAGAGAACAAAACCAGGGTGGAAAAAAAGAAGTAAGAAGGAACGAAGAAGCCCTAATTACAATCCAACGAAGTGGAACTAGCACTCTAGAAAGAGAGAATCTCAAAGAGAGAACTCCAACATATATAACGCAACATTTCAATAGATTTTTTGTACAACTCTAGAATTGTATTGTAGAATAATATTGGATTTGCTGTTAAACTATGCTTTTCTTATTTTTCACCATTTCCAACTAAAAAATCAGTATACATTCTTGTGTCTATATATATATATATATATATATATATATGTATAAAGGAATAAAGAACCTGTCAACCCATCCACTTGTAGGATGCTCTTTAACACGCAGGCTAAAAACTAGTGACATATCTAGAA